CGCATCACGTCATCCTTCACACAAGCGAGCTCTCTTGTAGGCACATCCTGCTACGGTAGGTATATGGTGGTTGCCCCTCATGGCTTTAAAAAAAGCACTACACACTATGAGTCATGGTAAGACTTTCAAAGTGAAAGCTATCAAGGTTATCCTTTCCAATCTCTGAAAGTGTATTGGAAAGACTTGTTAGCAAGTCCAACACAATTCGAAACAATTAACATATACATTGTGCAACTGTCATGTCTGGTCTGTTAAACTTATGCTTCCCAGTCCTCTCAAATGCTAGCTTTTCTTGCTCCGAGAAGAATTAGTTCCTTTCTTGAACGTACTTCAAATGGTCATCAAACATGACGGGGTAAATCCTGCTCTGAAGCTTCCTTGTCAATTCTAATATGTTTGCATACTTGGCCATTTCTTGAAACAAGTTTCTTTACAGATGTTACCATTCACACAGCTTTGTTCTGGCCATACACACACATCACAGAAGGCATGTTTCACTCACTGTTGATACCATTTTGGTGGCCTGGTCCAGTGCCTCCACATATCAATGTACAAGTGCCAGTAACCTATAACCTGTTAATGTTGAATACTTTTCCCTTTATGAGTAAAATTGTGTAATGTTAGAAAGAGTAAATACATATTTGGGGTGGGTTGTTTGAAGCCTGTTTAACCCTAAATGGTAGATAAGTCAAAACTGAATAACTGAAAATAACGCTCTTATGCATTTTGTGATTAAGTGAACTAAAATTCTATGCACTAGATATGTAGCTAGTTGGAAACAGAATTATTTTATTTAGGTTGAAAAATTTTAGTTTAGGTGATGTATTTAGTTTGGTTTATACTGCAAGTGCTCTCACATTGCTAAATTTGCTTGATATCTTAACAGTTCAAAATGAATATCGCCTACATGCCTTGAAATTTATTCATGTGTGACACAAAGGTTTGTTGCCACACATATTTGATAATTTCTTCCAATATTCAAGAAATGTTCATTGTCATAACACCAGATATTCATCTCATTTAAATATGTATAAACCATATGTTTGAACTAAGGCAATGGGAATGAAAGTCATAGACTTGCATCCGGACAATTCTGAAAACATGTGCGGCTTTTTTTCATTATTCATTATTTTCTATTGACCATTGTTTAGAAGAGAAATTCTATTCACAGTCTTTACTTACAATGCTCAATTAGCCTTTTTCATGCCATGCGACCAGGTCTCATTTGGTGGGGGAATGCAAAAATTTATACTTCTAGACACTTCTCGGTTATATTATCCCCAATGGTTCCTTCTCGTTTATCATTTAAGCCCATTCACAAACTCATTCTTAAATTGGGAGGTCGCATACAGTAATGTAAAATGCTTTTCCGCTGACCAGCAGGTATCAAAAGTAGCGATACTAGCAATTTAAGTACTCACTTCCAGTATCGAATATTGAAATTTTGTGTTCATTTTGGTATTGAAATATAGGTATCGGCCGATACCGATCTTAAAAGTATCGGTATCAAATCAAAAATCCTGGTATCGCCCATCCCTAAGTACATGGGTTAACAAGCACATCTTACATTGGTCTCTTATTAACCCATTAACAGGCAATGCACCCTAGTAACTCTTCAGAATTTGCTCAGAGTCAATGTGAGTAAAATACATCTTGTATTCAAGCGCTTTCATGTACAAAGTTTCGTTTGAATACGGCACAGAGTAGGAATATTTATTTTGAATTTTTCAAAATATCGGGTTTTTACCCGCATGCATGTTTAATAGCTCGATTGATGCACGTGCAAATCATGCCGACCTACAGAATCGATTTCCGGTTTTTCCTAAACAGCACATTGTTTTGATCGCCGCGCTAAAAATATAAATATTCTGTAAATACTGAGATAAAAGATGAAAATCCCAAGACACAAGCTTGAATCCCAATAATATTATTACGAAAAAGATATGTCCAAAGGGGCCGAAGTTATGTTTGGCAGAATGTATGGCAAGTTTACATTGTTTGTTATATGAAATATGATACCATACTTGTATTAAAATTCACGTCTACCTAAATGTTATTGTATTAGGCAAATGAGTAGACTTGCCAGTTGCCACAAGTCGACCTTGAACGAAATGAGTTTCTTCGAGGTCAACTTGTGGCAAGTCTAGCAAATGAGAACCACACAACAATGGTCCTAGTTCTTGTTGGTATTTTGAAGGCACGCTTTATCTTTAGTATAGCTACCACAAAGCTTTTCGCACAGATTATATTTTGCGGAGTACGCACCCAGCGGTACGCGAATTCTCTTAATTCTTAGTACTGCGCAGATTTTAATGTATTTAAAGGTATATTGTCGACATTTGACTAACACTATCGTAAGGAATTAGGAGAGTTTGTCCTTGTTTATATTCCAATATATTGTATAAATTTCCTGGGTATAAATTTATGAAATTTTGGGGTTTTCGAGTCGTTTAATTTATTACAAAAAGAAAAACATTAATTCAACAGGCAAGAAACTCCAGAGTGTGACGGAAAAAATTAACACAAGTACACAACGGATGTCCACAGGAAACCGGCACAATTCTTTGAAAATTCAACAAAACTGTGTAAAATATAGTTTGATCACTCTGTGAAAAGTCACCATTGGAGTTTGGAATTGTGCGTGTGCGTACATGTGTATGGGCTAATAAACGAAAAATGTACCACAAGCATGAGTCGACTATTACGTACATAAATACAAGCTTATTACTATACACCGAGGTGAGCCTGCGATGAGCTAACACAAACTCCATTTCTCGAGTACGAAAAAAAAACAGAAAAAGAGGGATTTAAGACACTTGGCCTACAGGCCAGTGTAAATAGTTTTTTTGGAACTTTGAATCGCCCATATCTTCGCACTGCCTTGTTCTATTTTCAATGTTTTTTTACAGTTTTGAGACCCTTATAGCACAATCTCTTCAAACAATTTCCTAGCATGTTGTTAACTCGTGTTTAATTTTTTGGCGCCAAAATTGGCACGTCATTTTCCCACAAAAATGTAACAAAATCGAAAAACAAAAACGATAGGATTTTTAGGAATGGCAAATTCTATCTTGTGAGGAAGTTTCGTGATATTCCGAACTGACGATAGAAAGTTATTTGTACCTGGCCGAATTTGCTGTCTTTTTTCCCACCGTGTAATCCTCTTGAGAGAGTTTTCCCATGAGTTACTTGGAACAGTATGTAAGGCTATCGGGCAGTCCAGATCCATTTCGAGAAACAATGCAATCATGGTGATCAGGTGCACCATCCATGAAAATGAGCAAAATGTGTGGGACTGCTAAAATAGAAAGAAGTATTAAAATGCACATGTACATTAACATGTTTCAATTGTATTTTGAATAAATTAGGAATACCAATTAAACAATATGTAGCTAATTGTTTGCGATTCTTACATACGTCCACGCGACTGAAGGATTCCCTTCAGTTCAGTAGCATGCCTTAAGGAAGGTTGCAGAACAGAGTCTTTGAAACTGATATAGACATCCCGTCTGTAGAAACTTCCATCAATGCAAGTTGGGATATCTATCTAGAAGATAAATATATGCAAGCCGCCAATGACTTGGTATTTTTACTAATAGCAACATTTGACCTTTTTTGAAATTTGTAAGGGTACTGTAAATTCTAACTCACCAAAAAGTTGTCTACACTTTGCGAAGTCGTGATTACCGACGGCCTTAACCTGATTTTGCCCTACGATGACTTGTTTTTCCCCTCGCAGCAGCAGCCAGTGGCTAAGATGGTTCTTCCACTTTTACCTTATGCTTGTCATCCATGCTTATCAATGCAACCAAATCTTTGTGCAAGTACCTCCAGGCTGCCACACAATAATGGCTCTCTACATGATTAACCCGAACCTGAAAAAGATTTTCCTCGTATAACCATTTTATGGCCAAAAATTATTTTTATTAACACCACATCATTAGTATGGTAATAGGTGGACTTATAGGTGAAAATATAGGTGTCAGATACCTGAAAGGGTCTTAATATTTATAGCGGTAATAAAGCTCTTAAAGTTGTGTTGCACTGACCGCAAATGTTGGTACTGATGATATTACAAAATCAAAATTATTTATCCGCCACAATAAAGATCAAATTAACAGTGATTTTGTATGTCCTGCCGTCTGAGTCTTACCTGTCTTTTCTGAATCATTATTTTGATTTCCATCCAATACTTGGCTGTATTAGCACAAGGATTTAAGCCTGGTTTTCATATGTCGTAATTCATCAACAATCATCGCCGAATCAACTTCACGATGAGAGACTGGTTATCCACGATTATCACTGACAAGCGCCGATGGTTTCTGCACTTTTTGGCACCAGTTTTAATCTTGCAGGATGCCTGCCTTAAATAGAAGGTTATTGCTCAAAAAGAAAATGCCATTGATTACTGCTAAAAAAAAAGAAAACTGGTGGAACGGAAAAAATATAAAAGAAAGAGGTTCTGGGTGAGGAAAATCGTTGAAAGAAGAGAGGAATTAGGACAATTTCACAGTTTAGTTAATGAACTTATTAATCTTTTCGATTGGGAGTACTATTTCAGGTAATTTATTTATTTATTTTTATTATTTATCTAAATACTTTGTCTTAAAAATGACTTGGTCTCTCTTTCTTGAATTTTCTGTATAGCAACTTCAGGTTCAGCTTCATCCACCATTTTGAAGTGAGATGATTTCTGGAGACTGGACTCTAATTTCTTGTCGCATTTCATCTGTTTTCAGTTTTCATTTACAATACATCATGGCGAACATCAGTGACAATCGGGGAAAAACAAATATTTTTGTTTTCTACAATGGTCGCTGATAGTCTGGGAACATCTCCGATTACCGGTTTTCATTAATCGTAACTCATTGCAATCCGTCGTATCTCATCGGGAAGCTGATTCGGCGATGAATTACAAAATATGAAAACCAGGCTATACAGGCTGGAACTGGTAAGGTATCCATTTCACACTCGGAATGATGGTTCCAGGGGGGACTCTCTCATGAAGATCTTTTAAACTTATAGCTTTTGCCTGATAGAGCTTGTTGGCCATGTCGTCGTTCTTGGACGGCAACACCAATTTCTTCCAATAAGTAACGATCTGTTTCACCAAAGAAACCCTGACATGAATCCTTCTGCAGTGGAAGATGACATAAGTTGACAACAATACCATCAATACCTAACAATTTGCACCTTAATCTCTGTCCAGGGCATGACATGATCAAGATAATGTTGTCCTTGCATTATTTCGCGCATCTGGATGGCATAACTTTCCAATTTCTTTTCAGAAAGGTTACTAAGTGTTCTCTTCTTGTGTTTTGATTGGTGAGGACAATTAAAACTGGTAAACTTTTGTTTAAAAATTGCAGGAATCAAGTTTTCTCTGTATATTACAGCCTCTATTTTACTATATTGACCATCAACATAAAATAAAATGTCACACAACCTTGATACGAATGAGGAAGCTCCTTTCCCTGAATTTTTGGGAAATCTACAACCCTTCTCTTCAAAGTATGTAAGCACCTTATTTCTTAACCTGTCCATGTTGGTTTTTGGATCATGCACAGGCGCAGGTATGTCATTCTCTGCTGCATTGAAGGCATTTTATGGTTGTTGCACTGGATGAGGGAGGCATTTGTGACAAGGCATTGTATGTTGGATAGTAAGAGAGAAAAAACCCATTCCAAAAATATTATATTGACAGCCTCTATGACATTAGTCGCAGTATTCCCCTGTATAGTTTCAGTTGATGATAATGTAGCACTAGCTATTGCTTCTTTGAACTGGAAGTTTTTGCTGAGGATCCAGTTCAAACATAGTTGTCAACAAACTGTTTAGAATGTCATGCCAAAGTTGCCCATAAGTCTATGTTGCAAAAGGCAACCTGACAAACTTCTAATGTCATAAAATCCTTCCGTCCAGACCAACTATCCGGATAGCAACATGCTTTTCCATCTGAGAATGAATAAAAAAAACCACCACAGCCAAGAACTAACGTCGCCAGAGGCAGTGCAAGACATACAAAGCTGTTAATAATATTTATATGTTTAAAAAAGTTCAATGTTGGGCATACATAACAGTGCTGCAAATTGTTGTAGTATAATATATTAAAATACATTGCCATTGTGTGTTGCTAAAAACTGACTTATTTCAACATAAAAAACTTTCATTTTGTTTTCTACAAATAGTACAAAGAATGAACTATACATGTTTACAAGTTTTGTGCTTTTGTAATATTTTTAGTTGTGAAATCATAGCTTATGAATATGAAGTATAGTTTAATGTATACATTTATGTAAATATGCAATATTTATAACTAGAACATCAATATGCTGGATGAATAATTCATAGTTGTTTTTTTTTATTAAATATTCATAGCAAAACAGCGAACACACACGGTTTACATATTTTTAAAGAGAATTGTTTTATAAATAGTTCAATTATATTAACATTCGATCAAGGATTGACAATTTCTTTTGGAGCAATTTATTTATGCAAGGATCTCCCAGATATAACTAAAAATCCACCTTTGTTTTCCTTCTTTAAGCAAGTTAAAACCTACTTATTGGCTAAACGACATACCTATTGAAATTTGCATAATTTATTATATATTCTTCAGCTTTGCTTAACATAAACTAATGGAAAATTAAAATATTTTCTTCAGTTGACAGCGTTCAAAGAGGGAGTGTGAGGTAATTAGTATGCTAATTGTAATTACTTGTTTGCAAGCATATAAGGCTCGCTCTACAGATTATTGTTCTTTCATGTTAGCGACCCAACACTAACACCAACATCAACACTGTTTGTGAAGAATCAGTCTAGTGAGATAATTGTGCAATGGCTGAAAGCGAAGCGCCCAATGTTATTGCAACAAATAGCTAGGCTTCGGCGGCAAGTGTTGAAGCATCAGTTACTGTTCATTAGTCCGAACGTTTACTGGTCTGAAGGTTCACTACTCCAAAGGTTCACTACTCTGAAGGTTCACTATTCTGAAACATACGCTGTTGAATTGCAATTATGTGTTGACGCAGTTAAACTTGGCTGCTTCCCAGTTAAGGATTTTTCGTACCTGCATACACACACAGAAAAATTTAAATCCACTTGAAAGTCCTTTGTCCACTTAAGAAATAATTAAATGAATAAAAGGATCGCATTTAGGTTTGTGTTTGATTTTAAATGTATTTTTTAAGTAATTATAGTACTTATGCCAGTATAAAATTTAGAAAGATTTAAACTTTTCAGAGTGTATATATGTAGGTGAAAAAATGTGCAACTTGAAAGCAGCCTTATTAAATGTCCAATGACTATGGATGCTACTAACATGAAATTTGATTGTTACGGATCATCATTGAAATTTGTCCTGTGAGTAAGATGTAGCTTACACAGTTGACTCGTATATAACCTTCGGCGTAGTGAACCTTCGGACCAGTGAACCTTCGGACTAGTGAACCATATTGACTATTTGGGAAGTCACCGAAACATCGGCATCGGTTGCCAGTGTTCCAGACGTGACTGACAAATCCAAAAGTCATCCAAAAGTCATCTAGAAGACGAGCTTGGTGAGAAAGAGAAGCAGATGGATCGATGAAGGAAAAGAGGTAATCAGAAAGCATAAAAATTTATTCAAATAGCTGACAAAAGCATCGATGGATGGAATGTTGTAGACGAATACTTATCGGATGAATTGGGTCTATATTCCGCAGATCAATCAATCAATCAATCAAAGCATTTATTTAAACACGAAAAAATTTACAGCATTTGCTGATGTGGTCGTGCAGTTAAATTATTATCCTATAGTTAGTATATATTACAAAATTCAAAATATAAAATATTTGTCGTGCCTCCGAGTTGAAGGATGCAGTGTCAACCAAACTAGACGATTATACGAATATTTATTTGGCCAGTCGGTGAAAACTAAAGACAATTACACAACAATATAAATTACGATTACGAAATGAGAGATAGCGAACAATTTACAACACATTATACAAGAAAACACTTAAATCTCACTACGACCGTCTCCTGATAAAAAAACTTAGCACAAGTAATCTCACTCCAAAAATAAATGTAGCTAGTAACCCTGTTTAATATGTCCTTCGATAAACATTAGATTATGCTGTCCGTCCGTTTTATTTGAAAACATGAGTAATCATGTGTTACGTAATTAAACATGCAATCGTCACACTCCTGACGGACATGACGAGGTAACGTCCTTGCAACTAAAGCATGCTGTCACTATTGTTTGTACTCATTAAGAAAACTTGGTTACTTATCGGTCTTAAGTAGCTCTTTTTTCCTCCGTCCTTCTAAGTGATCACGTCCACTTTCCTCACTTTACCATCCTGACTTTGGAACGTATTTATCACTCTTGCTAGTGACCAATTGTTACGGTGAGTTTCCTCTTTCATCATCACAATGTCTCCGACTGTTAGATTGGGCCGTCTTTCATTCCATTTAGCTCTCGACTGTTGATTCTGAAGATATTCATTCTTCCAACGAATCCAGAACTGATCCGCCAAGTATTGGGCTCGTCTCCAATGTCGGCGAGAATACAAATCTTCGGACATGAAAACACTGGGTGCCGAAGAAAGAGGTCTTGTTTTCATAGTCAGTAGCATGTTTGGGGATAGAGGTTGTAGTTGATGTACATCTGACAGTAAGGTACCGATTGGTCTAGAGTTTACTATTCCCACTACTTCAGCCATAAGGGTTATTAACAGCTCGTGTGTGAGTTGTGCAGGCCCAAGATCCGAGAGCATTCCGTTCAGGACTTGTCTAATAGTAGCAATTTTCCGCTCCCAAAATAATGATGGATGCGTGAGGATTGAATATCCACTCACATTTCTGTTCGATTACATATTTTTCAATTTCTCTATGGTCCATCCCTTTCATGGCTTCATCCAGTTCAGATTTACGACCAACAAAATTTGTTCCTCTGTCACATCTTAGCACTGATAGTGGTCCCCGAATAGCGAAGAAACGTCTCAGAGCACAAATGAATGAGCTTGTATCCATTGTTTCTAAAATCTCGATATGAATGGCTCGACAGTTTAAGCAAGTAAATACCAGACCCCATCTCTTTGAGTTTGCTGTTCCTCCTTGTAGTTTTCTTGTACGTATGGTCCAGAGTCTGAAAACATCAAAACCAACATTTGTAAATGGTGGCGGTGTGTTTAGTCGATCAGGTGGTAGGTCAGCCATATGTTGTGTCATCAGTTTTCCTCTGAGCTTTCTGCAGACTACGCATTGATTGATTGATTTATTTGCCAAAACAAAAGAAAGACTGTTAGCTATTTACAAGATATTAATAAAATAAAGTCGGCGAGGAGACCTCAAGAAGCTTAGAGCTTGTGTAAAGAGGCCACCTCATCTCAAAAATTCAAAGTTAAATATTTAATTAATCGGTATAATTTAGGGTTACAGACATATATAATATAAAATTGAAATTAAATTACAGACACATATAATGAAATTGAAACATAATGAAGTTTATAATAAGAGAGAAAATTTACGAAAATATATAATAGATTTTCCAATAATTTTATATATTATTACTGAATATTCGATAAACATGGTCGTAGCATATTGATCAGAGTTAGCTGTTCCTTATTCGCTAAGCAGAAAATTACGAAGTTGCATCTTGAAAGACGAGATTGTGTTTATCGCAGTTATATTTGTAGGTAAAGAATTCCAAATATTCGGTCCTGAGTATAAGATGGCGAACTGCTTAATATTAGTTCGACAAGCATGAGATCAAAAGTTACCGGCAGATCTGGTGTTATAACCATGTATTTGATTGTTTATTGTAAACAGATTATCAAAGCATGTTGGCAACATGCAATGATGATATAAAAACATAAACTTGCCAATGTGAAATGTATTTAGCTTAAATATATCCAATATTTTGAGTTGTTTAAAAAGTGGATCAGAGTGTGCACGGTGTTCGGAATTTGTAAGAATACGTACAGCTCGTTTTTGTAAAAGGAGAATTCTATTGAGGTTGGTTACATAAGTGGAAGACCATACAATATTACAATAAGTAAGATAGGGATATATAAGTGTGTAGTACAAGGATAATCTTGTTGCGGATGACAGTAGATATCGTGATCGGTAAATAATTCCAACAGACTTGGCGATTTTATTGCAAATATAATTAATATGTTCCTTCCATGACAAATATTCGTCTATATATACTCCTAAAAATTTTATGTATTGTTTTTGGGTGATCATTTGATTGTTATATTGGATAACTAGATTTAAATTAATTTTCTTTTGTCTCGGCCGAAAAATGATATAGTTTGTTTTACTGATGTTCACAGACAATTTATTTGACTTCATCCAGATATCCAGCTTTCGAAGTTCACTGTTCAAAACAAATTCAAGTTGCTTGATATCCGAATTTGAATAATATATACTAGTGTCATCAGCAAAAAGATAAGATTTTGACAGTTCTAATGCATTCGGTAGATCATTGATATATAAAATAAAAAATAATGGCCCTAAAATAGAACCTTGTGGAACTCCACATTTTAATTTTTCCATGGAGGAACAGGTTTCATTATATTGAACAAATTGTTCACGATTGCAGAAATAGCTCTTGATCCATTGTAGTGCAACGCCTCTTATACCATAATGTTGTAATTTAGTAAAATAATATTTCATGATCTAAAGTATCAAAAGCCTTTGAAAGATCAATGAACACTCCAGCAGCTATCTGGTTCTGATCAATGGCCGTGGCAACGTTATTTATTAGAGAAACAAGTGAATGCATAGTAGAGTGGTTACTGCGAAAACCAAACTGAAATCTATACAAAATTTCACATTGCTCAATGAATGATGTTAACCTGATTTGCATAACTTTTTCAAATAACTTTGAAAAGTTTGTCAGGAGTGATATAGGTTTATAGTTTGTAAAGAAACTTTGATTTCCAGTTTTAAAAATTGGTATAATTTTAGCGATCTTTAGTTTACTTGGAAAGACCCCTTTGGATAAAGAAAGATTTATAATATTAACAAGAGGTTGTACTATTAGGTCAATAGATTTTTTGATTACATACATGGATAGATTATCATAACCAGGAGCTTTAGCTGTTTTAAAAGAGTTACAGATTTCTAAAAGCTCAATTACATTTGTTGGATGAAGTGAAATAGATTCTTCGCCATTTGAATTTAGGAAAGAAAGAAAAGAGTTTGAAGTCTCAGGAATCTTACTTGCAAGATCAGGACCAATGTTAGCGAAATATTTGCAAAACCTGTTAGCAATGTCTTTTGGATCAGAGAGAAGGGTGTTATTTGATATAAACGAGGAAGGCAGTAAGGTTTTTGTTCTACATTTATTAATTACTTCGTTTATTAGCTTCCAAGTTGTTTTGTGATCGTTTTTTGCAGTTTCAAATTTATTCTCATAATATGTTTTCTTAGCAATCTTAATCAAATGCGTAAGCTTGTTTTTGTATTTCTTGTATTGTCTTTCTTTGACAAGACTTCGTGAAATAATGAACTTTTTATAGAGTTTATTCTTTTTCCTAACACAGGTTAATAGCCCTCTTGTCATCCAAGGTGTTAATGGTTTGTTCGAGTTTTTTGCTCTGACTGATTTAGAAGGAAAGCTAAGATCATATAATCTAGAAAATTCATACTGAAAAGCATGGAAAGCACTGTCTACATCTTGATTAGGGAGATTTTCCCAATTGACATTAGTAAGATGTGAACGAAATTTGGTAATATTGCTATCGCTAAAGTCCCTAAATATGGTCTTTTCAGCACTTTTGCGAGGGGGAGGAGTTTCTGTAAAGACATAGACAAAGACCGGTAAATGATCTGACAGGTCATTAATAATAATTCCACTGAATAAATTTTGTGTCAAATGGTTGGTAAAAATATTGTCAATAAGCGTTGCCGAATGTGCTGTGATGCGCGTCGGCATACTTATTAAAGGCAAGTACATATGGGAAAACAGATTTTCGACAAATTCATTAGTTGCGGAATGTGCGTTTAAGCAGTACATATCTATGTTATAATCTCCCATTATGTAACAGTGCTTGTTGTTTTTTGAAATGGTAGAAAGAATTTCATTAAACTTATCCAAAAATAAAGATAAATTTTGGTTTGGTGATCGATAAACTACACCAACTACAATGTTCTTGCTATTTGGTACGAATATTTCAACAAACAACGACTCAATCATATTTGGATCTGAAAAGTTACACTCCGAGCATATTCGGTATTCAAGATCATTCTGCAAGTACAAACCCACCCCACCGCCGGACCTCGCAGTTCTATGACAGGACAAAAAGTTATATCCAGGGAGATTAACTCTGTCTGATGTAGTATCATTCAGCCAGGTTTCAGAGATACCTATTGCGGTGAAAGATTGGCGACTATTTGTTGCAAGAGATTTTAGATCATCAAAACTACTGAGCAAACTACGAGCATTTACATGCAGGAGCGAAAAGCTAGCATTTTCTTGTTTTGATTCAAGGATTGCGTTGACCTCTTCCTGAACCATATAACTGCTGGTAGGAGAAAGCGCGGAAAAATTAAAATTCGGATCTAGATTCTGCGTTAGGTGATCTAAATGAGATTCGTCAATTGGATTGAATAATAAGGTATCGAGGCGGTCCGCATCAAAGTGCAGTGGACCATGAGCCATTTCGTACAATGCAATATTAAAAGAACAATCATCTAGGTGATTAAAAGGGAGAACTGTCAGGGAATTTTGATTTATGTTACAGGGCATGTTAAAAATTTTTAACACCATTAAATGAACTTATCTTGTTTATGACACATTTAATCCTTCTAGATCACTTAAATTGTTGATGAAAATATGACGACTCTCTTCATTCTTTCTTAGGTATATTTTTAGCGTTTTTCACCCAACAAAACTTGAAGTTATGCTGTTTTGAGAACCGTTTAGCTTCGGCGAGAAGATTTTGTGCTTTCGGCGTAAGATGTTCCATGACCAAAACATTACAAAGGGAAGCGTCTGACGAGAGGCCCAAGGCTTCAGATTTTACTTTACTCGCTTCTTTTCGTTGTCGAATAACTTCATCTTTGACCACTCTTCGAACGAATTTACAGACGATGGGTTTCGGGCCTGTAGCGAATGCATTTCTGTGCGGGACTCGATGTGCTATATCAATATTGTGGGCTTTTACTTCTACACCCATTCCGTTAAATAGTCGAACGCATAACTCAGTCGACGTGGCAGCTGTTTCTCTTTCATTCCATTCGGGAACACCGAGAAGTTTGACGTTGTACTGATAACTGTACTTTTGAATATGATCTATGGCATCTGAAAGTTCATCTGATTTTTTTGCCACTCCTTCGAGACGTTTATTTAGTTGTTTGAATTCTTTCTCGGCAAACTCACGGAAGCGACTCATATCGTCGACTTGGTTTCCGAGGAAGTTAAGGCTTTTTTCTGCCTCGCTATCCGATAGATTGACGGTCTTATCGTTGCAAACACGCGGCAATTTGGCGAGTTTCTTGTCCATAGCTTCTTGAAAAGATTTGAAATCTTTCTGTAGGATTACAATTTGACTTTTAAGTGAATCGTTTTCTATCTTAAAGGAGCAGTATCACGTTGTGCGCATCCCTGCTGCGCATCGCAAACTTGAAATTCTACACTTGTATTTTTTCAAGTTTGTTAATCCAAGATGGCAGCCGAACCTGGTGCGACGCACGGGGGAAAGCGAAGGAATTCAGGCAGAAAGAGAAAATACGAACGTTCTAACAGCGCACAATTAGTTTGGAATCGTCAACATAAACAAATTTATTTGTCGTTGACGATTTTTAAATCGTGGAAAGACGCGAAAAATGAGGCTGGATACGGTTCTAGTACTGACAGTGAATTTGCTGCTCATTTGTTGTCATTAGAATACCGCAGAAGGTGTGTAGGGTTTCATTATTTTTTATTTTGCTTCAGTAGTTTTGGACCTTTTATAGAGAATATGATTCGCATCCCTTTAGGTCAGATGTTGATGTTTCGAGGCAACGAAAAGATAGACTGCAAGCAGAGAACGCGAACGCAAATATGGTGTCAAATATGCAAGGCAAGCACAGTAAAAATTTACATAAATATTTTATAGTATTCAACGTGTGATGCCATGGGGTCCAAAATAAATTAATAAATCGCGATTGATTGATTTAGGCGACGTGGAAACCTCTACCCCATGTAAGCAAGATAATCGTGTGCCTCTGATTTTGCCCTCAGTATCTCCAGTTGTTGACAAAGGACAAAATATCTCAGACTCTGACTCTATGGAAGTAGATCAACATGAGGGAATGAGTGGCAATTTGGAGTGTGATATATCACCCCACAAAAGGTATATATACATATATATATATATATATATATGTATTATATATTATGTAATATTCTATTGTTTGTTTATCAAGGAATAAGCTTTGAAAGTATATAATTATACTCAATAATTAATTATTTTCTATTCATCCAATTCTATAGTATAATTGATCAAACTAATACATCCACAAAAATGAATGCATCCTTATTCACTGATGATGAAGGTGAAAGCACTGATACTGCAGACAGCTCTGAGCAAGAGTACAGGTATAGTTCAAGGCTTTTATATAACAATCAAATTATTTGCACATGTGGGGGCAACTGAAATACAGTTACTGATACATGACACATGCTTTTTTAATGCCCCTTTTGTTTGTAGTCGACAACATGATCTTTCACAGTCAGCCATTGGAGACCTGAATGCTGATAGAGAACTGGGAGAATATGATAAATGTGTTAGTTAAGCTATTTCATTAACAGTAATTTTATATTTTTAGTAAGTGTAATCAGTTTGTTGTGTTAGAAACAACACTGTCTGTTTGTGTACTGCACATTCTCATACTGTGCATGGTACCTGATCTAGCTTAGGTGTTCTAGTCTATTTACACTTTTTTTTGTATTGTCATATAATTATATAGTTCAACTGACCCAACAATGGATCTGGATGACAATTCAGATGATGGAATATCTGGAGAGGACATTTAGTGAGTTTTGGTATTTCTTGTTCATATACAGTGGTCTGAATTTTAAATATGGGTATTGTATGCTACCATAGGCCGGTGGTGGTGGCTTATTTGTTTGCCTTTTGTACTCTACGTATTTACTCTACAAATGTGTTTTACATATGCAGTATGCCATTCATGTCAAATGACCAAACCATAGGTTTTATAAAATCTATTAATTACCATTAAAATCTATAAATATGCCCATGAAATCTTCTTAACACCGGACAATATGTTTGCCAACACATGTATAGTGTATGACGTATATTTTATTCCAATCCATTAAGCTGCAATGATGCACCTTAATGTGCCTATAATGCAACCTTTTTACAATATGCATAGAGAATTGTTTGAAATACTGGGTAAATTGATATATCTGTTGCTTATTTTGCAAACAGTTCCATTGAGTCTGATGTTGATGATGAACAGAAAGATCTGACAACAACAACAACAACAACAACAACAACAACAACAACAACAACAACAACAACAACAACAACAACAACAACAACAACAACAACAACAACAACAACAACAACAACAACAACAACAACAGCAACAGCAACAGCAACAGCAACAGCAACAACAACAGCAACAGCAACAACAACAGCAACAGCAACAACAACAACAACAACAACAACAACAACAACAACAACAACAACAACAACAACAACAACAACAACAACAACAACAACAACAACAACAACAACAACAACAACAACAACAACAACAACAACAACAACAACAACAGCAACAACAACAACAACAACAACAACAACAACAAACCCACCACAAGTCCCAGAGATTGCCAGTACCAGCAGCATAACATATGGGCCTCATCGTAAACTGAGTAGGGGTGAGGAAATAAACAAATTCCCACACGAATTTGAGATGGTCAAGGAAAGCAAATTTGTCTGCTCCCTTGTGTTGTTACTCCAGGTATTCCAAGCTCGCTGTCAAACACCTGGTTGTATGAATGCACCAACAGTCAGCTATCGTTTTGTTTGTGCTTCGTTATTCATTGATTCTGTTTGCTCATCTGGTCACAAACATAGATTTTGCTCTTCGCATGAACTTGGGGAAGGAGTCTATGTGAACAGCCTACAAGCAGCTGCCTCTATCTTGCTGTCAGGCAATAGTTTTGCCAAAATTCAGCGAATGGCAAAGTTTTATGGTTTGGCACTTCTTTCAAAGTCAACATTTTATCGCTAACAGCGTTTATATCTGATTCCCGAAATAAATGAGTGGTGGGCATGGACAAGGCAAGAACTTCTGAAAGAATTTGTTGGGCAAGATAATGTCATTGGTGGTGATGGACAGTGTGACTCACCAGGTTTTAATGCAAAAAAGCTATGCTATTTTATGGTTGAAGCCAATAGCAACTACATCATCGATATTGAAATATTAGATAAGAGGCATGTTGGTTTAGCATCAACCAACATGGAAAGGGAAGCTGTTAAGCGTGGGTTGGAGAGGCTGACCCAAGACATAAAAGTGGTGGAATTTGTGACAGATGCATCAACTTCTTTTAAAGCACTACTTCGTATGTACAACACACATATAACTTTAACCCAATGAGTCACATTGCGCTATCCTTTATTATTTTTACTCTCTCTAATGCCAGACGACTTTACTTGTCAAGGGGATAGCGCTAGCGCTTAATAGTAATCATTCGGTTGGAGTGCAACCTAATATTATTCATCTCAATTTTCAGAAAACAACTTCCCTACCATTGTGCACAGTCTAGATGTCTGGCATAAGTCCAAAAGTATCAAAAAGTGTCTAGCAAAGGTATGAAATGTTTTGCTCTATTTATTTGTGCTGTGTATGCTGTGAACTCTTCAATTATAAATTTTTGAGAGTTGTACTGGCAATATAATTGTACAAAATTTTCATTATAATACTCATTATAACTTGTCTTGTACTTTAAATTTTCTCAATTTTGAATAATGTTATGGTTGTTGTTTCTATATTTTAACCCATCAACCTGCAAGACTCTTCCCTTGACGAGTAAAATTGCCTGGTGTTATACCGACTAAAAGGATAAAGTTGAGCGGCAATACACCCAAATGTACCTGACTATCATTTTTTACTCTGTATAACACCAGATGATTTTAATTGTTAAGGGGAGTCTTACAGCTAAATGCATACATGTGTTAATATATTTTATTTTTAAAAGAGATTTGAAATGAATATGTAAGCTGAATATTTCAACATGATTGTTTTCTTGTTTCAGTTGGGCAAGACAAAACCCATGAGTAAAATAAAAGACTGGTCATCGCATATTGTTAAGCATTTCTGGTACTGTAGCAGTATGTGCAGGAAGGATGAAACCACTTCTGACTTAGAAGCTGGCTTTAAAAGTTATGAAGGTATTACTTTGTTTCTCAAATTTTATTTATACCATAGTATAAATAGTCAAATAATTTCCTGGAATAGACCATCTACAGTATGCATAAACAACCCAAGGTAAGGATGTTTTTGCATCAATCAAGAGCGGTGTTTTCATATCATGACCATCCCATGTTGGTTGCAAATGATGTTAGGGTCGGGCCATTAGAAAGTGATGAGGGAGGTGGGACATTTCCAACCTGTACTATTATATTTTCAAAATTTTTTGCTTGTGTCAATATTTTTTTTTAAATCATCTGTTGCTCTAATTTTTTTTTCCAAAAAGTGTGAGGGGGCGGGGTGGGTGGGGGTTTGGTTAACATTTTTTCAGGACACTAAAAAAGGGTCAAAAAAATTTCCCAGACTAACATCGATGAAGTTAGGGTTCAAAACAAATTTTCCCTCAAATTCTTGTTAAAACATGCTTAAAACCTTTTTTGCACCAATGTCTTCAATATTTAGGTTTAGAAACTTTTGTTCTCACACCATTACTTATGTCAATTTTTCCTATTGAAATGTCTCTGCATGAATTTTTTTTAAACTTTTTTCGTGCTCAAATTTTTTTTCTGTTTCCCCTGCTCGATTCTTATTTTTGCTTTTGCCCCCCCCCCCATCACTTTTCGAATGGTCCACCCCTTAATACATGCTTTAATTACGTCTTGCCAACAATGCTGAGTTGTACAGTAGAATTTCTTAATAAGCGGTGTAATTATAGTTCTTGGTGTGTTATTTAGGATAAGTGGATTTCATTATTATACCATGTGTGCAATGTGCACAAATGGCTAGAAGGAGAATGTGATCACGAGGAGGACGATCATGATGAATCTCTGCCATGGTTTGATCGTCGTGACAAAGACTTCATTGAACTTCAGAAAGTCATTCTCAACCCAGAATTGCTTGCAAGCTTCCAGTATTATACACGCTTCGGGTAAATAGTTGTTATACAATTAAGATTTTGGGTATGTTCACAAATACAGTAGCCTCATAAAATGGAAGGCAGAATGCTTCACACAGGCATTTTTTATTGGGATTAAATTTCTGATATAATTGTATTCATTGATCAGAATAAAACCCAACTGACAAGGCAGCCATAACCTTTTACCTGGTAAATACAGTACTGTATAATGCAATTATGTTCTCTATTTCTAGGCACACTGGTAGCATTGAATGTGCCAACAGTCTAAGCTTGGTATACACACCAAAGCGAATGCCATTCAGGTTGGTGTATCCATAGTTGTTGTTGCTGTATGTCATTTTGTGTTTTGGGTATTCCTAGCACATATATTTCTACATTACTGAATACTGGAAATAAGTTGTTCTAAGAGTCCTTAAATCTAAACTTTAGATACAACGCATATAAAGCCAGGAAACAGTTGACAGCAATTGACTGGAATTATCATGTTAATCTTCCCCAAGCAAAGACCAAGTCGGGGGAAGAGCGAATAACAAGAAAGTACAACCCGAGAACCAGGCAATGGGATGTCAAGATTGTAAAGGTTGAAAAGGGTTATGAGTATGTTCCAGTACTCATATCCAGAATGTTAAACAGAAGAATATGTGATGCAGACGGTGTGACAAGACACATTTCTTTAAATGATAGCAACCCTGTCCTTATCTCCCCAACCATAGCCCACATTCCTCCTCCTGCAACAAAGGAAATTGTCCAAAGAAAGAGCAGATTTGCAAGTGACGACAAATCATCAAAATGAAACTACAACAACATAATTAGCCAGTGAACCATATATATTACCCAAATGTTTTTACTATATTTACATTTAACTTACAAGACCCTGCATATAAGAATTTGTATTTTTCAAGTTAGCCTGAACAGGTTATTATATAAATGGTGCTTATCATGAAATAAGGGTAAAGTAAACAGGTTCTTATTTTATAAAGAAAAAGCACCTCAATTTTGGTTGGTGTAGGTACAGTTATTTTTTGTTGGTGTGTTCAAACAGACATGCTGTTTATTGTTATGACATATCCAGGACTCTGACTCATTTTCATTACTGTATGAAGAGTTTATTTTCTTTGATTTATAAATTTTTACTCTTATGAGCTAGTGATAAAAATAAAATAAGCATCTGTTTGAAACTTTAGCCTAAACAGGTTCTTATATAAAGAGGGTCGAAATAAGCAAATTTAACATAACAGGTTCTTAAAATCTAGGTTGAACTCTCATATGTGGGTTCTTGCTGTATTAAAAAATTAATGGTCTCTATATCCCATGTAAACACCAGTAACTGATGGGTACTGTTCTCTAATTTTTAAAACCACACAGGATGGACAAATTCGTCTATTCCCTTTGCCTAGAAAGCCATGGCGTGCTAGAATAAACTGTCTATAACCAGCTTTGCGAAATGCTCTTGTGCTGTTGTCCTCTCTATCGTTACGGATGTCACTCCTATTGCGGATACAAAGCTCCAGCACATCTGGATCAAGGCATAATTTTGCAAAACGAGAAGTTAAGGTTATGCATTTCTTTTGCCTACAACATTTATTTTCAACCTCTTGTGGCATTGGTCTGCATTTGCCACATGTGCACCAATCTGGCACTGATTCAAGTGTGGGTTCGGGTGTTGGATTTGGGTCTTGTGATTGAGAAGGGCTCTGACTCTGAGAAGGGTCTATAGCAGAGTTCAATGGATTGTCATTGGATGATTCACCAAATGCACCTAACCTTTCTGCATCCTGATCATCTTCATCAAGGTCATCCTCCATTATCAGTAGTGTGTCGATGTAGTCCATACTGCCAATACCTCTGCGTAAACTACGAATAGCTAGCTTTTTCACCATATTTGCATCTAGTGTAGATATCAATTTCTAAAATAAATACAGTAGAACAAGATTGTTATCAATGCAAAACCCTGCCAAGACATTGTATACTGTATAGGTTATGCTATTATATGTGTAATAATAATATGAAATCATCAATTGTTATTTTTATATAATTAAATATTATTTTAAGGTGAAGTACATACCTTCACATTTTCGTGTTCTTTTGCCCTTTGCATGTCCTCCGACTCTGTAGTTGCGTGAGTAAGGCGAAAACCTTGTCTTGGATTTCCTGCTGTTTTGCGTTTCGTGTCTTTGATCAGCCGTTCCCTATACCAAAATCAGACAAATTAGTTATTATAATTCCTGGAATATAAACAAAGTTGTGAACATATAAAAGTTTAGATTGCTTTACCTTATTTTGGCAAGGTTTTGCACGCGTGCCACAATGACATTCTGCCGAACACACTACATTTCTACCTTTACACGGACAACCTCGGGTTCCATTAGGCTTTCTTTTAGTGCTTCAAGAACTCTTACAATCACAACGATTTCCCTATGTAAACGGATATATCACTGTTCAATTAGATTCGTATTGCTTTACAAAAAATATGTAAAATATGCATATTTTGACTTACCTCAGAGTTCATTATACAGCTTCGAAACAATGGCGGATTATGTCGTCCGAGCAATTTCCGACAGTTTCCGAACCCGTTATTGTTATGCGCAGCAGGGGTGCGCACAATGTGACACTGCTCCTTTAAACAAATTGAAGCTTCATGCATGCAAAAGTTTGAAAAAATGCGAGACAAAGGCCTTCAGGAAAATTCGGTTTTCTCCAGTTAAATTAAAGGTTATCCTAAACGGGCTTTGTGCAACGGCAATTTTATCATGCTGTTATATAACTAACCGTCGAAAAGGGAATTTATACGTTGGATAGCGGCTAAACGCCGTTTAAGAGGCTGTCTCTCTAAGAACCGACCAGTGGCTTTCAAGCAAAAAAATGATTTTCGCTTCTATTTTGCCCACGTGTTGTGTTTTCCTTCGCAACATTTTTTCCGGTTTTAGAATTTTTAAATTCTATTTTATTTTCGAGTTTTAGCTTATTATAACATCCATGCCGGCGTGAGCGGGATTCGAAACGAAGCGCCGCCCATAAATCCCAGATAAATCTCTCGTCATATCTCGGGAAGTTTTGCATCAAATTCAACAATTTCTTCAGATATATAAACCAGAACTATTCTCTATTGAAAACCTCGTATCAATGTAAGAGTCAACAATAATTTTAAGTATATTTCTTCTTCTTTAGCGAACGTAGTAATTTGTCGTTTAATCCTTCGCCACATAGTTCGTAAATATAATCAAAAATTTTTCGAAAGTGGCACCTACCTGGACTTTGAAATACATTTAGAGTGAAAAAGCACTCTTTGAAGTTAAATGATCGACAATAAAACTTGCCGGCAAAAGAAAATTGAATGAGAACAAAACGCTATGATACGAGCTATTTTTAGTTGGTTTGTTTACCTGTTCATGTGCGGAAGTCCCTTTGATGTTTACAGCAAGGCAGTTACAAGTCACATTGTAGCTTACAAACTTGTAATTTATAGTCAAAAACGAACAATCAATGTTGTTCTTTTGTGTTAGAAGTGATCCTGCTTCTTCTAGGCTCGTTTAATCCAGTAAACTTGAATTTGAGTTGAAGTTAATAGCTCTTGCCTGATTGCGGCAACAAACAGACGTTATTAAAATTTAATAAAACTTAATATTTAATAACTAAACACACCGGACGCGATTCCACAACGCGATGCGATTTTTTAGTTTTTGAAAGTTAATAAAACAGCCAATGAGAGCAAATTTCGAAAGATATGTAGAGGAAATAACTCAAAATGTTATACCGTTTCTAAATATTTGGAAAATTTAAAATTAAACTAGAACCAAAGTTATCGGTCTGTGAAAATCGAAAAATCGCGTCGCCTTGTCGAATCGCGTCCTGTTTGTTTGGACCTTAATGTGCGTAAAACTCTTCACTGATGTTTTTGCCAGAAAATAAACATCTCTACCAATATTAAATCGGCTGCAGTCTTGTGATAATTCTTGTGGTTTTATGTACATAGTGGCAGGCTACAACATGGGCATTTATCCAACATGTTTGAGATAGTATTGATTAGATCTTGCTTTTTGTCTTTCGACTTGAATCCGAGCTCAAAATGTGAGCAAATTTCCTTTAGCATCGGAACCTTAAATCCCGAAAGTTTGTCTTGTTTGTGCAATTCACACAAGGCGTACGCATCGTAGTAGATCGGGTGGGCCACGTTCGATTCATTACTGATCAAATTCAGCAAATACGCTCGTTTTTCATTTTCTTCTGCATCGTCAGTATCGCTTTCATAGTTATCGACCCCAATTTCTTCCTCAATATCTGTGCTTATCACACCTTTGCGTCGCTTTTTAGCCAGCCTCGAGAAAAAACCTTTGATCTGCTCTTTGTTGAGCCACTCGGCTGCCTTGAATAATTTTTCTCCTCCTTCATCCTTTGCACATCTCATATCTTTAGCCACCTGCACTGGGTATGATTTATGACCTGTTCACTCACCATAATCAAATTTCGCAGTCAAATACTTGCAGATATTTGGAGAAAAACGCAGAGAGCCAGTTTTAGGTTTACTAAGAGCCCATCCCATCTTTGAAGAGGATTCTCTGCATTCTAAAGTTTGATGTTGTTTCGGTCCCTTGCCCTGGACATTTCTTGAGCTTAACGTTGTGAATTGTTTTGCCCACTCTCTTTTTAACGCATCATACACGCTCTCGCTGTTGATAAAGCGACTATGCTGGCCCAGGTCCATGTGAAGCTCTAAGCTCTGAATTGTTTCAAACACGTGGTTGCAACCAGGCTCAGCACAATCAAACAAACCAGCACTAACTGCGTTTGAATTATCATCATGGTTTTCATTTCTTTTCAGTTTCGTTTGCCTAGTCTGCTGTACAGCGGGAAAGTTGACTGACACTTGCAATTCTGTACTCTTTTGTCGGCTAATGTAGATATCTTTATCCAATAGTTTTTTTCCCTTTCCAATGCCATATGCTTTCCACACCCTTATCCCTGCTTCTTTATACTGGAAATTGTGATAACTGCTGAAGTCCGTAATTTTCTTTACACTGAGTTGCTCAGCAGAGGCTTTGACTTCATTGACTGATGATGTTGTTCCTTTAACTGGACGGCAATTCAGTGCAGTATGCATGTCTTGAGCTGTAAGGATATCATTTCCTTCATTGCAGTATCGGCGAATTGATGACTTCAGGGGACAGATGATCCTATCACAAATATCCTTACCTTGTTGAGGTTCTGAGAAATCATAGCTTTGACACAAATTCCAACGCGATCTCCAATATCTTTCAAAGATGCTACCAGAAGGTTGTTGTGGTAACATCTTGCCTCATCAGAACGAATGTAAGCTTTGCTGATATTTGCCATGCTGGACTTGATAGTTGATAGCAGGTTTTCGAGAATTGATGCAACGGCAAACCAGTCTTGAGTGATGGAATCGAATAAATGAACATGTGATGTAACCACTGCAGTGTCCGAGGATACGCCGTTCGATACGACGCTGCTTACATGCCAACATAGCCCACGTTTGCCATACCAGTCAGATTGTTTTTCTCGAAAACGTATCTGCTGAAACTTCATGGCCCAGTTAATAACAATTAACACTGATGTTTCGTCCAGGCTTTCCAGTATCTCCTTCTTTGCATTTTCATTATTTATCGAACGGAGAATATGGGCCTTCCATTTGCTGCTTCTTTTATATCTTGAGTATATGAAAAATGTGTGTTGCTTTTCAGCTTGTTTTCAAGTTCCTGTAAAGTAGATTTGAGGTTCTCACAGTTATCACAAACCAGCGTATGTTCGTGTGCACACTTTACTTGAAAAGCTTCATCTCCTGGATCACTTAACGCAAACATTGTACAGTGATCAGCACATAAACTATCATCCTCTTGGCAATGTACCTTATAATCTGTTTTGAGGTATTCTTTTGCTTTATGTAACCTTTTGATGACAGACTGTGACCATTGGATATCAATTCCTAGATGAACTAGACGTTCAGAGATTTGTTCCATAGTGTTAAACCCATTCGATCCATCAGCAGCGGTATTATCCAAGCCTTGTAAAGATTTTCACTGTGAGGCTTCTCTAACTTCCAGGATACGAAATAATGTGGTTCTGCTAAGTGGCTCGAATTCTTCTTCCTTACAAGACTGCAGATATTGCGCAACCATTGTGCACTTGGTAACTGTGCGAATAATATTTGGCATCTCAATTGTTTCACCACTTTCAAGTTTTAGTGTTCTGGTGCCGAAAGCGACATCTTGATGGTAATATTGTCGGTTGGCAAAGTCAATGAAGTGATCTACTTTGCCAATATCTAGACTTACTCGATGGTATCGGGTTTTTTTTCATCTCCATACCTGGCCCGTTGTTTCTAGCATGAGCACGAGCTCTCTTAATCTGCCATTTGCTAAGCCGACCATAAGGCTCATGTAATGTTTGCAGTTTCTGTGCGGGCAATTCGTAAGCATATAAGCTCAGAATCTGGATCTTCAGACTTCTTGATGGTGCTTGTGCGTAGGCTGTCATCAACGGAACAATACTTTTCCCCTGATCTATTTGCTGCAACGCCTCAAAAAGCTTTTCTCCGTCATTTGGGGCAATAATTTTGCAAATACGTTTGCAGGCATCAGTAGCCCGATGTTATGCACTCATCCTTTTCTTTAGGGGTTGCAGAATCCAGATCACCATCGAGCTGGAAAGTCAATTTTGGTGGCGCTTGAGTTCCGGCCAGCTGAGATATATTTTCCATAGCCTGATTGTGTTGATCTAAAACTGAAGTATCTGCAGCAACATCGCATTCCTCTTGATCGCTGTCAGTGTCACGCAGATAGGCACTTGTACAACCTGGTGTCCATGTGTCTGTACGCTGGAGTCCATATTCTGAAGAACATGATGGGGGTACTGAAGAGGCTCATTTCAAACATTTGATCAGTCCTTGATGCTGTCGATTGTCTAAAAATGAAAAACTACAAGGCTTACTACTTTGTGAATTTTCAAATCAAAATTCTTTTCATTTGAATTATTAATTAAAGTATTATTTCCAAAAATTACCGACCTGCTATTGTCATCTGAATGCGTGCTTTGGAGGCTTTCACTCGTTGTTTGCTGTTGCTTCAACCAAACGCCCTCTTTCGTCACCCTTTCTTTGTGCAATTCCCGACACTGCCTGCATATGGCTCAAGAGAATTATTAAATTTATCCATTTAACGTTAATTTTTGTTTAAAAGTTTTATGGTTGCTTGTTTTTGATAAATGTGAAAAACTTGTACTATCAAACATTTTGGTATATTTTTCACGATAATGGATACCTGGTGAGGTAAGCAAGCCTAGTGAATTAATTTTGATCTAGTCCTAGGACTGAACAGTGGAAAAATGCATTAATTTTGTATGAGTATGCGATGTCATTTCAAAACATCAAATTCGGTCTAGATCCGATTTCAAGTTCTCACTCCTCGCTGTCAGTTCCAGTCATCTGCCCCGCCTCAGCGTGGAACTACTGCTTGGACTTGAAATCCGTTCCAGTCCTCGTTTTTGGATTTGAAATATTACCATAAAGAAATGGCAGGGCTTGACGCATCCCCCTGGATCATTGAGGAAAACTAATAGTACAGTACTTAATTCATTGAGAAAGTAGAATTGTTTTAAAACACAATTAATAACTTACGTGACCCTATTTGCACAAGTTTTCCATAAAGCGTGAAAGCAGCTTCCGACAATGCCATGTTGAAGACGTCTTTTCCTGGGCACTTTCGAACTGGACCTGAATGAAGCGGGTATTGACATGATCTCAGCGGTCTCCAAAATCTCCCCAAACTGTTACGATGACTTGGGCATATGGCTATATTACGTAAATGTTCTTCTGTGGTGTGGAAAATTCCAGCTCATGCTGCAATAACTTCGCATTCCTCCATTTTAGCTTTCGAGAGATGACAACTAGAAAGATGGTTTCTTATATTTTCCTGACAATCACCAAGAGTAACAATCTCTTTTACCCTTCTGTTTTCACCGCAACAAATCCCCCCCCTCCCCAACGCCAATAAACGAACAATTCTTTGTATTCATGTTTCAAGAATATTACCGAACTGTATACAGTCGAACCCCTATAAGCGGACACCTCTCTTAAGCGGACACCTCTATTAAGCGGACACATATCTCAGGTCCCAATCGTTTTCTTTAATAAAATACTATTATCATAACCCCTATTAAGCGGACACCCCTCTTAAACGGACGCGGACACCTTACTTGAGGTCCCAATGGGTAAACCAACCACTCTTAAGCGGACAGATGACAGATTGTCTGATAAAATGTATTCAATATTCGACAGTAAATAACAATTGAGATCAATTAACATGGCACATTGACATTGACACACCAACCTGGTGCGAAGACATCAGAGCCAAGATTATTGAGGAAGTGACAAACAAGGACTGTGAACTGCCAGCCGAGGAGCCGAAAGATATGTGTCAGATCACTGATGACAACGAACTGAACGAAGATGATGAATTTGACTTGTCTCTTAACGAAACAGTCATTAAATCGTCCTCCGAAGCCTTTAAAGTTGTCAAACGGCTGGCAGAATTCGCACAATTTCGAGGTTTGGAAGAACTTTCCAACGCTATTTTTCTGTAAATGACATTATAATGAGCTATCGTCTGCGTGAGCCGTGAGCCTCGAAAGCAAACTTGTATCGATTCCTTTTTTATTACTGTGAGAGACGTATACATTTTCTAATGAACTTTTATGCACAAAGAAATTTTCATTTTATGCTAATTATTTGCTAAGATATTTTTTACTGTTTTGATACTCAAATTACACACCTAACTAGGGTACCTGCAAGGTAGGGATAGCTGCGTGCATTAAAAGCAAATAGAACTACAGTAAAAAGCACAAATTATATCAAGCACAGTGATTACTAGCCTGTGCACATCCTGTATTACCCTGTACTACAGGTAAGTTGCGTAACATTAGACTTGAAAAAGCTTTAGAAATTCGATAAAAATTCGAAGACTCAAGCGAGTTTAAAATTTGTGTTCTGCGCATAGAAAGCGCGCACGACCACAATTCCGTGCGCTTAATAAAATTTAGTTCAAAACCCCCTCCCTGCATATATTAGGTTGCTGCTACGCTCGCTCGCTTCAGGCTCGCTCGTTCCGCAGCAATTACACACCTTTGCCTCCTGCTGTGTTTTTCTGCATACCCCTTTTAAGCGGACACCCCTTTTAAGCGGACACTTAGGCGAGGTTCCGAAGGTGTCCGCATAATAGGGGTTCGACTGTATGTCTTTACAAGTCAGGAAGTGCTCACATACAGCAATAAATGTTGAGTCACATACACAGGTGTGAGGAAGTGTGATGAGGGAAATAGGATATGTCTGTATTTGTGCGCGCACATATTTTCATATTTTTCAGAAAATGGGAAAATAGTTTATGTGGTTTGATCTAAAATAGTTTTCTTTTTTATTCCTCCTTTTATTTTACTATAGCCAACAAGCAATTTAGTTATCTACACTTTCCCCTCCCTCCCCCCTCCCACCCTGCCTGCAGCCGTTGTTAAACGGGAACAAAATAAACATGAGAACGCGCTTATTAATAAGAAATTTTCGCTACAAAGTTAAAAATTCGCGTCAATGTACAATCACTGAAGCTTGGTAACATGTTTTCAATGTTTTTTTTTACCTTTGAATATGTCGTTATTTCCTCAATGCGTACGACTTGTGTGAATTGCCCAAGCAAGACAAACTTTTGGGATTTAAGGTTCCGATCATAAAGGAAATACGCTCACATCTTGAGCTCGGTTTAAAGTCGAAAGACAAAATAATTAAAGAATATAGATGTAATCTACATGTTGGACTGCCTTTGTCTAAATAAATTACAATACAAGAATGATGACAAGTTTGCTGGCGCTGTCAAACCAAAATTATGTGAAACACGCCTCAGTGAGAGATTTTCGCCAACGTTTGCCTTGGTACAGAGTTTCAAACGTTTTTTCTCTCGCAGAAAAACTTCAGTGAAGAGTTAGTTACGTATTGAACATTACCCATTAGTAGTTATTAAATATTAAGTTTTTAATATCTTTAATAACGTCTGTCTGTCGCCGCAAGCAAGCATTAGCTGTTAACTTCAACTCAAATTCCAGTTTGCTGGATCAAACGTGCCCGGCAGAAGAGGTAGGACGACTTCTAACATAAAAGCACAACATTAATTGTTCGTTTTTGACTACAAATTACAAGTTTGTAAGCTATAATGTGACTTGTAACTGCCTTGCTGTAAACATCGAAGGGACTTCCGCACATGAACAGGTAAACAAACCAACTAAAAATAGCTCGTATTATAGCGTTTTGTTCTCATTCAATTTTCTTTTGCCGGCAAGTTTTATTGTCGATCATTTAACTTCAAAGAGTGCTTTTTTCGCTCTAAATGTATTTCAAAGTCCAGATAGGTGCCACTTTCGAAAAATTTTCGATTATAATTACGGACTATGGGGCGAAGGATTAAACGACAAAATACTACGTTCGCTAACGAAGAAGAAATATACTTAAAATTATTGTTAACTCTTACATTGATACGAGGTTTTCAACAGAGAATAGTTCTGATTTATATTTCTGAAAGAATTGTTGAATTTGATGCAAAACTTCCCGAGATATGACGAGAGATTTACCGGGGATTTATGGGCGGCGCTTCGTCTCGAATATCACTCACGCCGGCATGGCGGTTATAATAAGCTAAAAGTCGAAAATCAAATAGAATTTAAAAATTTTAAAACCGGCAAAAATGTTCCTAAGGCAAACACAACACGTAGGCAAAATAGAAGCGAAAATCGTTTTCTTGCTTGAAAGCCACTGGTCGGTTCTTAGAGAGACAGCCTCTTAAGTTTTAAACGCCTTTCGAACAACCGACCCCATGCAGTAACTATTTTATAAAATAAATATCTTTCCAGGTCACATATTTAAAGTCATATTTACTAGGAAACTAGTTACTTAAATTTGTCTTCCCGACCGGTTCCATCTTTATAATAGCTGCCTGCAAGTAATGAGATTGGTAACTGTAGGTTACGGACAGCTCAGGAACCAATCAAAATTAATGCTGCATTTTGCAGATGGATCGCCTTGTCATATAATAAATGATGATTATTCGAATTGATATTCTAAGGGCTGCTCTTTAAATTTGCAGAAGATCATGCCTACTTGTAATGCAGGATATATATGCCATTTACGTGACGACTATATATGTAGGCTATACATCAGAACAATTGCAATATAATATTAAGACGTGGGGATGAAATAAAATGAATAATAGAAATTACAAAACATAAACTGCCGAAACCAGAGAGGACGCGATTCGACAACGCCGATAATAAAACAGTCAATAAAAGAAGTTTTAAAAGATATATATATATATATATAGACCAAATAACTTAAGATGTTATAGTGCTTCTAAATACTTGGAAAACTTAAACTAGGATCGATAAAAGTTATCCGTCAGTGAAAATCGACAAATCGCGCAGCGTTGTCGAATCTCGTCCGGTGT